GAGAAGGTTACCCAAATAGCTTAGAGTAGCTGCCTTTCAGACAAATAAGTCTGGGTGGAATTAATAGTATCTTTGATCTGCATCTCTCAGTTTTTATTCAGAATAGGACATCCTACATTTCTCCGCTATGATTTTTGCTTTTTTGACAAGTTAAAACACCAGCTTTTTTTATCACTACAAGCCAGTGATAACGTTGTCTGAAGGCACCTGCTTTCATTGCCACTGTGGAGTGATTGTGATATCCCAGAGAAAAAAAATCTTCTCCAGCATTCAGTTAAACTGATGGCTGTGTAGTAGAAAGCACAGTTTAACAGCACAGTCACAAAAGCTGCCAAGTTACACCCAGGTGTTTATACTCAGAGGCAAGATTACTCTTTAACACAAAGTCTGCTCAGTGTGTAATATAATTGTAATTTTAACTTCAAGTAATGTTTAATCATTGAGTCATAGACGAGATTATTCAGTTCTTTGCAATGCATAGGCAAGTTCCACTGTCTTCAGATTTATAAACAAGCATCATAGTTAATCCTGTTCTCCTTCTTTTCTTAGATGAAACATTATTTCATAATTTATAAAAATCTTTGGTTTTAAGGCAAATTAATCTTTAACAGTGGAATGTAGTTTATGAAGCTTTCTGACTGGCAGCTCTGGCATTCTCTTAAACCAGTGGGGGGTTCACATTCACAGGTCAGCTGCGAAAATAAATAAAGCAAGCAGTATTGCTTTTCCTTTATTAGCAAAGAAGGCCTAAAAAGTCATTCTCAACACAGAAAGACTTGACTTCTAATTAGTGGTAACAGCTTGGTCACTCAGTTTTCCCTCTCTGATTGTCATTTCATTGGAAGAGTAGGAACCAGAATAGGAGTGTCAGAACAGAAGAGAAGTGCTTACTGGTGGTCCTATCCTTTCATCTCTGGACAACATGGGATTATGTCTTGCAGTTTACCATATCCTCCTACATCCCCAAAGAGTTCCCAATAACCCTTCCCCTCTCTTATGCCTCCTATAGCTCCTCATAATGCATGTCCCCATAGATATTTAGGTATCTAGCTGGGTAATGCTGTGTAGTTATCTGTGGGGTGACCAGCCATAGCCCCACAGCCTGACCCAGGGGTGAATTATCTGTCTTCCCATCAACAGGGGTTTTCCTCCTATAGCCAGATGTTATTTTCCACAAAACCAGTAGGAACTCTGAAATTTCAGTTTGGCTTGAAAAAATCAGCCAGTACCTCCAGTTGCTGTGGGACCAGATGGATGCACAGACACACAGAAAACAGGATCTTATGTGGTCAAGCTGAAATAATTTTCTCAGTGTTTTTACTAAACATTCTTCTTGCTTTCCACTGGAGATTTCCATTCAGTTTTATAATATTGTATTCCCCCTAGTGTTGACAAGAGGAGTTTGAGAGGGCAAACAAGAAAAGGCAGAAATTACTTATAAAACCAGGGAAGACATCTAATCTGCATGTGTCTTTCCAGTGGTTTCATGTCACCATGAAAAATGGTCGTTTGTTTCTCATCCAATTAATGGTTCTCAACAGCTGTTTTTCAAATTAATGAGATCCTAAGATGATGAGACTGAACTGAAATGAGAAAATCATACATCCTAATGTAATGTGTTACTGAGGCACACAGACTACAGCATTCCTGGCAGATTGTCCTGAAAAGTCCTGGTCACTTCTTTGCCTACAGGAACTCGATCTCCTGACACTGGCATGGGAGTGTTTCAGCTAGCAGAGTGGGGCAGGAGCTATGTATGATCAAATACTAGCTAGAGCAGAGCTGAAAAGTCACAGCTTACCCTTTCAAGTGAGCAATTCTCCCCTGTGCTCTCAGGTGACAGATAAATACACCAAAAGCCCTGAAAAAACTGATATTGAATTTTTTAGGGTTAAGTACTTTAAAGGAAGAAGAAAGACAAGCATGGAAGCTAACATGTAAAGAAAAGACTTGTTATTACCTGGCTGTACATAACCATTCTTTCCTGCACTGACTCATAACTTCAAATATGTCCCTTGCTGCAAATTGCCCAAATCCCCATAATAGGAAATGAAGGTGCAAGGCTGTGTTTAAGTGCTGATAGCCAACATGCTCTTTGAACAGCTTATGAAGTGGTAACCTTTTTGAACACTGGTCCATCAGACATGCCAGAGCCATGCCCAAAGCAGAGAACTGAAACCCAGTGCAGATATTGCAGGTGCTGAAATAAGACATCAACAAGAATGATGAATGAGTGGCACAGTGCAGATGAAGGGGTTGGCCAAAGCAGGGAGAGCACTTTTCTGAGGTCTACACACCCAGAGAGCCTTGCAGGATGAACCTTTTTAGTGGCAGCCATCTCAGTGATGATACTGCGTGTACATTGGACATGTACTTTGCAGACAGGATCTAGAGGTTTGAGATGTGGGTTCTGTGGTTCTGGCTGTAAATCAGACATTTTCATGGTCTGTCTGCATTCATTGATTAAATCAGCTTGGGATTTTTCCTGAGGCATCCAGGAAAAAAAAATAATAATTATGGTCTGTAAGCACTGTATCTTGCTAAGTTTCGGTAAGTTAGTGGACATAGATCCATGTGTGTGTTTGTGTGCTCCTTAAAGTACCTCGTCCCCATATGGGTGCATGTGGGTCTGCACAGGCTCTGTGGGGCTCTGCAGCCTGCAGGAGCCAAAGGAGCAGGGAAGGTGTGGAATATGTTCTCTGTATGACAGGAACAAAAGCTGCTGGTGGAACCAAGGGCCTTCACATTAATGAGCAGCACAAGGCTCCAAACTATCGGATAAAAATCCAACATAGGCTCCTAAAGACTAAATCTGGGTCTGGGATGGGTAACTCAGCCTCTGGATATTGTGGCTGTGGGCTCTCTGTTTGACCTTGGACTGATGAAGGTGGTGATTGCTTTTGGAGCTTTTGCTGTGGGAGGTTAGCACAGGATCCCAAAGAAAACTCCAACAAATTGGAGTTAAGAACTTCACCTTGCCGAGCCCAGCCCGGCAATTCCCACGGACACAGCCCGCAGGGACCTGCCAGCTCTGCCCGCTGCCCCTGCCTCGGTTCCCCCCGGTCTGGGGCGGGCGTTCAGCGCCGCTGCCCCAAGGTCACCGCTGTCACCCAGGGCTCCCAGCTGCCACCGCTGTCACCCAGGGCTCCCAGCTGCCACCGCCCGGTCACCGCTGCCACCTAGCGCTGACAGCTGGCACCGCGCACTCACATCTGGCACTCCGCAGTCACATCTGGCACCCCGCGCTCACATCTGGCACTCCGCAGTCACATCTGGCACCCCGCGCTCACAGCCGCCCCACCACCTGCGCCAGGCGGGCTCCCGGCAGCTCAGCTCCTCAGATGTTTCATTTCAGTCGTGCGGTTACTCTGCGCAGGATTTCCTAAATAAAAGTTTGCAGAAAGGTATTTTATAGAGAGAAAAGCATGCGAGGATAAGCACTCAGATTTAAAAACAAAAAAAATGCTTTGTTAAATCTATTAATAGGATAATTTAAATTGAATAAGCTGAGCTGTGTGATTGCCATGTTGGCGGTGGTTCAAAGCCACCAAAAGGAAAACATAAAGAAAAGCACCAGGAGGGTACTAGAAACTGAAAACATAAAGAAAAGCACCAGGAGGGTACTAGAAACTATGTTCTGAAGGACTGAGTCCCCTAAATTATCAGCAACTATTATAGGAACTGGTCGAAGCTGTTTTGCCCTAGACTAAAAGAGTTATAGTGGTTAATATGAAAAATTGATACTTAAAAATGCATATATTTTCAGAAAATAAATACTTACAGATATATGGAAAATGTCATTATTAAACAGAACAACTTGGTAATTAAGATGAAAAATATATAGTTGACAAAAATAATGAAAAGCATTTTTTAAATGTATGTATATGCATACAATACAAATATATATGCATATATTTACCTTTAGCTATGTTTCAGGCTATCACCATTACTTTTATAACTACCACTTTTCATTTTCACCAAAATCTGTAGAGGACATGATTTACACAATAAATACATGAACTCTTTAAATCATTATGCAATTTCTACTTTGGTTATAATTTTTCAAGTAGTCAAAGAGTGCATTTATGACTTCATACTGCTGTAAAGAGGATTACTGTGATCAG